TTAATTTTTTTATTCCAGTTATTTATTCAGGTATTTATTCTTAGAAAGAAAACAAATTAATAAAATTTGAAAAATTAGCAATGAATAAATAGTTATTAGAAATGAACTCAGTAAAATTAGGAATTATATAAATGTCTTGTATAAATATATTGTTCAGAATAAATAAATGTATTTAAAGTTACAAATCATCATGCTTTGTGGCATCATTTCTATGTTCTATGAGGACTCTTGATAATGAAGTATGTAATTAATGCACAAGCGGCGGTGTACCTAAAGTTGAGAAAGTATTTTATCTTGAAAAAAAAAAAAAATCAGCTCTAACTATACTAGATATGGATGTTTTAAAAGCACACTCAAACTCCACCGTATATTTTGAGCTCCTTCTGTTTTCATGCATCTGTTTCCATCAGCACCAAGCTGCTTCATCGAGCCTCCCGTCGGCATGGCAACAGAAGTCATGCGCTGTCATATGAAGTTCCAGCATCCCGAGGGCGACCACTTCACCCTCATCAACATCTACAACACCTTCAAACGCAGCCAGAAGGAACCATGTGAGCGCCGCTCTTCCTCTCGTGAATGCTCAGGTGAAGAGCGAGAGTGTGTTAAGCGTCTCTCTGTGTGTGTGTGTGTGTGTGTGTGTGTGTTTGTGTCAGATTTCAGTCAGGAGCAGTGGTGTGAGGAGTACTTCCTGAGCTGCGCTGCCCTGCAGACGGCAGACGCCATCAGAGCTCAACTCACAGACATCCTCAAACGCATCGAGCTTCCCATTTCAGAAGCAGCCTTCGGCACCAAAACCAACGCACTCAACCTCAAGAGAGCGCTGCTCGCGGGCTACTTCATGCAGGTCTGAAAACATGTTTTTATGGACATATACATCGTTTTTTGTTTAATGTCATAATGTATTATATATGTATTTTAACTGATATATAATTGTAGTGTATTTTTTGTTTGTTTTATTTACTCATTTAAAAAAAAAAAATTATTTAATGTTTTATTTACTCATTTAATTTTTATTATATTTTATTACATTTTGAGCTATATTCTATATTTTTTTATATATATTTTTTTTTATTTTTTTTATTTTTATTCATTCATTTCTCTGAGGTCCACTTATAATGGTAGTAAGGTTTCGTAAACATTTTTCCACACGTTTTGAGCTATATTTTAATTTATTATATAATTTTAATGTATTTTATTCACTCATTTCCCCGAGGTTCATTTAATATTAGCGAAATTTCATAACCAATTTTTTCCACAGGTGCTGACCTATATTTATTTATTTCATTTTATTCACTAATTACCCTAAGGTCCACTTAGTGTTAGTAAAGATTCATAACTATTTTTGAGTTATATTTACGTATTTTAAATATTTTTTTAGTTTATTTCCCTGAGGTCCACTTATGATGTTTGTTTAAGTTTCATAACCTTCAGAAAGTTTTTAGCTGTATTTATATTTATATATTTATTTAAAAGAGTATTTGGTCATTAATTTATTATTTTATTCGTTAATTCATTTTTATTTATTGATTCATTGTTCACTGTCGGTGTCCATTTCTGTTAGTAAAGTTTAATTTATTTCAATTTATATTATTTAAAACAAAATTTATTTATAATTATTGTTTGTCATTTTCATAATATTTTTTTTATTAGATTTTTTTTTTAACAAATTGTTTTCTAAAAAAAACAAAACAAAAAAAAACCTTACAAAAACTTAGTCCAAACAGCTTTTTAATTAAATTTTTTTCCTCAGGTCTCATTTGAATATATTTCGGGCTGAATTTGAAGCGTTAGTCATGAATGTGTTTTCTGAAGCTCTCATGTGTCCCTCAGATCGCCAGAGATGTGGACGGTTCGGGGAATTACTTCATGCTGCTGAACAAACACGTGGCTCAGGTTCACCGTCTGTCAGGTTACGGAGCAAAAGCTCATAAACTGGGTCTGCCGGAGTGGGTTCTGTTCCACGAGTACAACCTCTCCGACAACAACTGCATCCGCACCGTCACACAGATCTCACCGCAGGCGTAAGTGTGTGTCCTCCTGCTCTGACTCTGATCATGTTTTCTGACGTATCATCATCAGTAATCTGGTCCCACAATAGAGAGCTTTTCAGATCCTCATGAGGATTAAAGCAGATCAGCTGCTGCTCACCTTTGCTCTTCTTACATTCATTCATGATACTCATTTATCCTGAACATTATTAGAAATGTTACAATTCTGGTGTCCGGAATGGAATACAAGCTTTACAATCAGCATTGACAATTGACAATCATTTTTTATTTATCATTATCATTTTTTTTTTTTTTTTAAATAACTACATTTATTTTCATTATTCATAATTTTAAATGGATTAAAATCAGTTTGCTCTTTAAAAAAATGAGTGAAAATGTAAAAATTGCAGTAATATATGCTTCCATTCAAAAGTCTGGGGTCAGTAAGTTTTTTTTTTTTTTGTGAAGTCTCTTATGCTTGCAAAGGCTGCATTTATCTGATTAAAAATAAAATAAAAACGCTAAAAATGTGGAATATTATTACAATTTAAAATAACTATTTTCTGTCTGAATATATTGTAACATTTTATTTATTGATGAAATGGAAAGCTGTATTTTCAACCTCAGTGTCACAGAATTCTTCAGAATTGCTGATTTGCTGCTCAAGAATCGTTATTAATGCTGAAAACCATTGTGCTGCTGCTTATATTTGTGGAAACAGTCATAGGTTTTATTTTTCACAACGAATAGAAAGTTCAAAAGAACAACATTTATTTGAAATAGAAATGTTTTGTAACATTATAGATGTCTTTACTGGCACTTTTGATCAATTTATGGCGTAGTCTTAGCCCTGTTCCCTTCTCTTTCAGGTTTCTTCAAATGGCACCGCAGTATTTTTTCTGTAATCTGCCACCTAGTGAAAGTAAAGAGATCCTGCAGCACATTCTGGACAGCGACGGGACGGGGAATGCAAGAACAAAACCTCAAGCGGCCGCGCCAGAAACAAAGACAGAGACGGCAGAAGCCGAATCACATGACCGATGCGTCATACAGTGACCTCATCGAATCATACTTGTGTAAATAGTGCTCAATTATTTTGTATTGTTACTCTTCAAAAGACATGAGTCCTGTTTGGCTTGTTTATTTTGTGGGTAATTTCAACTGATTATGTACAGAAATAAATGATTTCACTGGTTTGTACATTACGCCTTAAGCTCAAGGCCTGGGACATTAAACATCTCTTTTCTAGAACAAGAAGAATTCAGTGTTGGACGGTTCAGACGGTCAGATATTCAGTCATTTTATCCATGACGGCGCCCATCTTGTCCGTCGGGATCACCATCACCGTGCGGAACGGTTTCATCGGTACGTCGTCGTAAGACCACTTTCCCGTCGCACAGGAATCAGCCTCGTCCTGAACGCAGTAGCTGAACTTCAGCGTGGCTTGCTGTGAAACAAGAAAATGTGTTTAAGGTTGATCCAAAACAACCCTTTTCTGCAGATTATATTCAATATTAACAATTAATAACGTCATGGATTTCTCTAGTTATGTTTCGCTCCGAAACATTTAATTAGGTAGACAATTTCTGATTGTAATCTCTATAAATAATTTATTTTTTATAAAGTGAACAACTGGAAAAGTCATTGAAATTCATTAGTCAAAGCAGGGTTATTATAGTTTACTAAAATAAAAGGCATAACATCATTTGCATGAAACACAAACATTAAGATTATTTTAGCTAGTTTTCAAACGAAAAACCTAATAAAAATTGTTGATTAAAAAGGAATATAAATGCATATAACTAAAATATACAATTTTATTTATTTTTTTAATTTCAGCTAGTTGCCAAATACAATTTCTAAAACTGAAATAAATTAAAAACTATATTGACATTTTAAAAACCTAATAAAAAAGACAAGACAAACTTTAAAACGGAACAAAAAGCAAAAATTTAAAACAAAATGCAAGTATAGCATTTTTTATTTTAAATATCCTTGAAAAATTCATCCCTGCTTAATCATTGACAATTAAACTTCTGTGCTAATCAGTAAAAAATCCATTCTGAGGACATACGGACTTCAATATAAGTCAGGATATGAGAAGTAGGGCTGGTCTGAATACCATTTTTTGAGCTTCGGTAGTAATCCAGGGTTCGTACACATTTTTACCAATACATTTCCATGACTTTTGAGACAATATTCATGACCTAAATGTTCCATTATTTTACAATAACAATAAAAATCTGTTCAAATTATCATAGCATATGTTAACTAAAATGAATGACTATTAATGCTACTCGTTTGCTTTCTTGTTTTAGTTATAAGTACAAGCTGCAACTGTGCCAGACCTTACTCCACATTTCACATCACTGAATATTATCATTTATTTAACTGTGTGGCCAGGATGCAACAAGCTGCGCTTTAGAGCCCTGCATTTCAGCCCGAGCCCAACGGCCCCAACTTATGTATGGCTTCGGGACAATTTTCACGTCATAGCTCAGACACGAGCCAGGCATCAGGCTTGCTTCCTCCTTATGTTTATATTTTAGATATCCATCAATTATTATGGTGATGAAAAAGATTTGCCGCGCTGGTGGAACAACACGAGACCGTGCTACCGCGACTGTCACGAGTGGCTCGGACGGCGTTTAGTGTCCAGCAGCAGCGAGTGCTGGAAGAGTTCCATGTTAAAACGCACGCAAAGCTTGCCGCAAAACGCCAGCAAGTAATTATTATGATGAATGCTCCAGGGGAAATAGAATATTCGCAGGGTTTCGGTTCATTTTTGTGAAGCGCTCCTGCTCAAGACCGAGACAGCAGAAAGCGTATCCTGTTTGTTTTCTAAAAAAGCACAACGTATGCTAATATTGTGAGTGCACACAAATAAAAGTAGACCCTTAACAGTCCCGAATGATGTATTACTCTTACCTTTATGAGCAAAAAATACGGTTGTTTTCACTGTTATAAGAAAAAAATGCAAGTGATCGTGCTGGCGACTCCATGTCCTGCAAAGTGCGCTTTAGCTTCTCTGCACAAACGATTGGATACGCTCCTAATAGCACACATTTATCTAGGTTAACCATTTAAACTAACATTGTTTTTTTAAGGATTTTATATAGGCCTATAGATTTTATTTTAGTCAAGTGGTGATGATTTGAGAAGGCTAAATTGATCAAACACAGGCTATGATTAACTCACTGTCTGCCACTGGCCGATTGGTCGTTACTTTAAAAAAAACAAAAACTTGAATTTAACAAACAAAAACATTTTCCAAACATATGTCTAAATTAACGTAATAAAGAAACGAAAATATATATAACCACTTTTGCCATTAAAAACGAAACGGAACTATTTTAATGGCTACAACAGCAGCTGTGTAATTGGGGAAGAGAGAAAGAGAAAAAAGACACGGGCTCCAGTCAGACTCGGCCAGTAATTCTGATAATCTGTCGGATAAGGGCCGGACTAGGGCATATGTTTGAGGCCTGTGCAGGGTTCTGCTGAGCTTATTTGGTAGCAAACTCAATACTCATATACGCACGAGCGCACTTTGGATGTGACTGCGCACCGCCTCTGGAGCACGCGAGTACCGAATGTTTAAAAAAACTTCCAAAATCACCTTAGATAAACGGCAAAAGTCAATAGGCTTTTCAAAATCCAAAATATTGCCAAACAGGCAATACAACTTTTGTATCTCGTTTCGAAACTAAATCCTCGCTCTTCTTGTCTGTCTGGCCTCGCCTCGCCCTTCTTGTCTGTCCGTCTGGCCTCGCCTCGCCCTTCTTGTCTGTCCGTCTGGCCTCGCCTCGCCCTTCTTGTCTGTCCGTCTGGCCTCGCCTCGCCCTTCTTGTCTGTCCGTCTGGCCTCGCCTCGCCCTTCTTGCCTGTCCGTCTCGCCTCGCTCTCCTCTTCTTG